AGTAATTTTTTAAGGCTAAATGGCACTACAGGCAGAATGGTTTTGAAGTCAGGTTTAGAAAAGAACTTGGTATATCCCAAAGCTGGCCTGATTCTTGCTCATTTCCCCAAAGGTCAGATGCAAGTTCAGCTCTGAGAGCGTTGCACTCGGGCGTCTGGGTAGAGCCAGGCACCGGTGTGCCAGCTCCACCCTGCAGCCTGGGAGGGCCTGGGAGCTCATACCAATAAGGACCGATGGCAGGACCGCCTTCTAAATCCTGGAGGGTGGACTCAGACAAGGCTTGCCTTGATATGAGCACCCTGAGACATTTAGTTTTCTTCTTTAAACTTTTTAAGAGCGTCAAAAACCTGGTAAGTGAAGACAACCAAGAGAGCATTGCAAGTATGCTCTATATAAATGTGTATTTTTCTCTAAAGTGCAATTTTTCAGAGTCCCAATTAGAAAGTGTGCTTCGCTGCCTTCCTCTGCATATGCCCCCATGAATCCCAAGAGGTCATGGCGGCAGAGCACCACTTGGAGATTAGCAGAGCTTGCTTTTATTTTAAAGAGCTATTTTTAGCTGGGAGAGTGTGGGCCTGGCCCGTCCGTCCGGTAGAGGGAATCTTAATTGGAGGTGTGATTACAGGGGAAGGTCTCAGTGGGGCTTCTCTGTTTGCTCCAGAAAAAGGGTGGTTCAGCTGATTGTTACGGCTGTGTTGGGGGATGGGAGGTTACCAGTGGTCCCCAGGGGAACTCAACCTGTGGTCCCCCAGGACCTCTTGTGGAGAGCGCACATTGGCATCTGGGCTCCCCCACACCCAACTGATGAAACCATAGAGCCCGAGGTGTGTCCAAGTGTCACGCTGGAAGAAAGGACTTCCCAAAACTCATTGAAAAGCGCCATTCTATTTGGATGCCGCCAACTTGGGCTCCTGAGATTCGCTTCAACCCATCGCGTACAGATTAACATCACGATGTCACCTTGCAAACTGTCACCTTCCAGGCCAGGCCCTGGTGAGAGGAGTCTTAGGGAAGTAACAGGCGGGGCAGGGGGAGGAAGGGACTTGAGGACCGACTCCGGGCCTCTCACCAGATACCCGCGAAGTTGTGCGCTGGAGAGGGCAAGGGGGGGGGGGG